ATATATATATATATATATATATACACACACACACGTAAATATTTCTTAAATGTACACAGTACACACACATAATATGTAAACAAACTTTTAATGTAGATGCAATTTTTATATATATATATGAAATTATACATTTTGCATGAATTCTAAATATTTTTAGAAATATGTAATTGATATAAAATTTAATTGTGTTATTATTTTAATAATTTACATGCACAGATATATTTCCCCAGTCTACTGAAAAAATCAACTTGGTGTGAGAATTAGTTTAGAATTGGCTAGGTGATTTTTACAGCTCTTTCACTGCATTTGTTAATCTTTAACATTTGGTCAGTGAACAATCCGTGAATGTAGAGCGCTTGCTGTAGAGTTTTCTGTGGTCATTGTACAGTCCTTTCCTCCCAGATAACTTTAGGAAGTTCTTTGTTTTATTGAAAAGAAAGACTTCAAACTGAAGTGCGCGACACACCTTAACCCCTCCTGTGTTCACACAGGAGACACGGGACACAGATCAGTGATAAGAGCAGACTCCACTTCCTCCATCTGTGTAGGCAGCTGTATAAATCCATAAGTGTGCTTATAGTGTCAAAGCTCAGGTGGTGATATATTGTGTGGAGGTGACCGAGCGTTCATGAAGGGTAATGTGAGGGAAGCATTACCTCACTGGGGCCGTTTCTCTCCCTCCTGTGGCCACACCTCCAACATCAGACCATATCAGCCAAGAGGGAAAAAACACATGGAAGAGGGAAAGAGGCAGTTGGAGAATGACTAAGGAATTTGGTGTAAACCGGAAAATCGAATAACTTTCGTTACTCGAGTTAAAGTAGTAGTAGAGTGCGTGGGTTCATTGTTAAGCAAGCATCTGCCTGGAGGATGTTAAATGGACACGAGATAAATATCACATGTTTCCAGCGTGAGGTTCAAGGTCTTTCATTTGCTCTGGCTCAGCTGTTGAGGTCACCTGATACGGTGAATTCATTCCATCCCTCGCAAACACTAACTGCATTCAACTCGGCTAGCTGCTGGTAGAAAACCCGGCGTGGAGATCAAGTACTGATTGAGGAATCACACGATCTGCATTCGTGAATGTTTTGCATTACACTCTGAACTGACAACATCTCTGTTTCTGCCCTCACAGGTGCTTTTGTGCAGTCAAACGTGAAGCTGACGTCAGTGAAAATGCTGGAGACGGTAAAAAGCAGAGTGCTGGAGGTCTACGAAAACCTCTTAGCAGGAAGAGGTAAAAATGCATGTTGCCTGAAATAATCTTGGTATCGGTCCTGAAATAAATGTATAATATGCAGTCTAGTGGGCAACTGATTTGACTTATTTTTCCTAACGGCTGATAGCCTTGTATTAGTTATAACAGGAAGGCACACTTGACACCTAATTGCCAAAATCGCT